TGGCGCCCACAGCGTGGAGGCCGCTCTGATGAGGTTCCGCCGCACGGTGTCGAGGTCAGGGCACCTTCAGGAGCTCCGGTGGAAGAGGTACAGTGGGAGATGAGCCTTAACCACAAGCGCGCACAGGGACCGTGGATTTTCCTTCGTGCCAGGAATTTTCGTATTGCAGCCCGGGTTTGTTTCTATGTCGATTGGTCTTCGTTGCTGTTTATACACTTGTTCGAAGTATACTATTAATGTGTGCGATTGGGAGATTTTTTGTTGTTGTGGAAAGAACCTGCCCTCTGCAGGACGTTCGTTTCGGTATTGTAGCGCGGAAGTAATCATTTGTAGGCATCGGCAATTAAGCGAGAGTACGGTTCCAACGGTCATACGACAAAGTGACGACCCGAGGTTAACTTCGGCACCCATCTCGTGGTGCGTAGAGCGGGTCTCCTCGTGTTTCGTGGCAAGTCGAGAGAGCCTTGGTCAAGTCACGAGCGGGCTAACCCCCTTGGCTGGTATTGCGATGTGTTTCTGTTGCCGTATGCCGTTGCGTACGCTTTGCGTGCGCTTCGTCGTACTCTACGTGGTACACACGCAGGCACTTCGAGACCAAAGCCGAACGGAAGAAGCGCAAGTTCAAGGAGAACAAGCGCAAGGATCGAATCCAGCGTGCCCGCGAAAGAAGGGCGAAGGAGATGCAGTTCTAAGTTTGTTTTGAGAGATTTAGCATCGGCATCCCGCAGCGGGTGGGTGTTGTTTTCGCACGGTACATACATACATGGCAGTCCGTTCGCATTCTTTCCCCAAAGTGTGTAAAATTTTGTGGCTTTTCCCGCAGAGAGTTTGTCCTTCGGCTAGGGTATCCACCACCAAACACTAGCAACGACAACGGCAATGCTGTTGCGTGAAAATCGAGGCCAAAGTTAGCCTGGTCTTCCTTCATCCAGTATGTTGGCTAACCTAAAACTATCGTAGACAACTGATGCGAAGAAGGTAGGTGCTGTGTTCGTGGGCATGGTGCCACTAACCAGGATGTGATGCGCGCTTTGTCGCTCCTCTCCTAGGGGTGCGAGGTCCTGAGATTTATTATGGAGTGTACTGTACAGCAGTGACGCCTCCACCAGGCTTTACCGGACCGTGTGTTTCCGCCGGAAGGTGCCCATCGCGGCAGACGCTTTTTAGAAAGTTGGCATGACCGTCTGCCCGTTCGAGATATAACCACAGCAGTCGAAAGGGATGTGCTGAAGTCGTGCAAGAGAATGGACCAACCCTCTAGGAAGCGAAAGCTACACACACACGCTCGCTCTTTTTTGTGCCTCGTTCCTTGGCTCACGTGAATTTGTTTCCGCGCCCCCCCTTTCTCGATCATGCCGTACCTGCTGCGTACCATGCCCTATGTGCCATGCTATCCACTGCTTGGAAGTAGATGCTCTGTTGTATGTCCACCAGACGTTGACGCACGTGGCCTACCTGCTTTGTATCATGCCCTGTGTGCTATGTGTCCACTAGACGCGGAGGTGCCCTTTTGCGCTTCGGCTCAACACTGCCGTCGTCTACACACTCTCTTATTTCCACGATGTCCCCTCCGCTGTTCTTGCCGACCCACGATTCTACTTCCACGTCATCTATCCCTGACAATTGCCTCTTTCTCTCGTTTTGTCTTTTTACTCTAGGAACTTCGAGACTGTGGCGGAGAGGAAGAAGAGGAAGCGCGCGATGAACCTGAGGAAAGACAAGATCCAGCGGTCGCGCGAGCGCAAGGCGAACGAGCACAAGTTCTAAGTTCGAACCCTTTTTTTTTCGTGCATGCTGACGGTTGGGGGCGGGCAGTCATAAACCAAACGGGACGGCTTTGTCCATGTGCGTGTTTTGAGCAAGAAACTCTGGTTCTGATGCAGACCCAAATTTTGGTCCTGATTCGGAACCTTACCTGGTTTGGTCTGGCAGGGGTTCCTAGCACGCAGAAGAATAAGCTGTGATTTGCAAATCGACGTCAACAAGAGTACCATCCTATGGTCCGGGTTCGCAAGGTAGTAGATATCACGTACGTCTTGGATGTCATAGATGTCGATTGACTCTCCAGGCCCATGGCCGGGTTTCGTGAAGGAGAGGTTCCGTCTGAAATTGAGGCGGGGTCCTGAGTGTTTTTCTCGAAACGTTGGGAGCCCGTTCTTCATATAGAGTAGAGTATGGAATCATCACGTTCTCAATCCTGACCAGGGGGCGGGCGGTGAGCTAAGTTTTGACCGCTGGTTATTTTTCGCTACGCTTTGCCGTCTAAGGACAGATTCGTCCTCGCCCCCTTGGCGCCCTTTGATGGGTGGGACCGGTCGCGGCGGCACATGTGATATGTATGTGTTGGTCGCGTTTTTTTTTTGTTGGCGCTCCCTCCCCCATTTTGAAGGACAAGATTGGTTCGCGCCAACGTTGTCTCGTACCCTACGTTCGGGGCGTAAACTGGCTAATGGTTGCGTTGAAGACTCTCATGAACGAAGATTTACTGGACAATCACACAGACACAGGAAGAGCGAAAAGAGGCTTTGCGGATTTTTTCGTGGCGAAATTTGTTGGAAATTTCCAGAAATTTCAATGCTCGACGGCTGACGCCGTCACCACGAAATGAAGAACAAAACAACATGGAATACAGCAAAACGCTCATACGCAATGAAAGGTGATGGATGTATTCGGGGGTGGACAACTACACGTAATTTTTTTTTTTTGAAGAACCTTCTTCCCTTTTCGCTGGTCGTCGACATGCCGACGGTAATGCCGACGGTAGACAACGAGCTGGTTCGTTCATGATTTATCCTTTTTCCATGTAGGCCATTCGTCGCGAACGAGTGTACCACAAAGAGGCGGGGAGATGCCCCGTCCCCCCCCCCTGGACCGAATCTTGAAAGCACGCCGATTGCTCAGACCCAAAGAGGGGGTGCGGAAAGAGCCCACTACGTCGACGGTAACCCCACGACAAGATCTTTCCAAAACCACAACTACGTAATCCTCGGTGTTGGCACGAGGTTGAAGATGGGACAATCGAGCTTTGAAAATCGGTCCTGCGGGGAACCATCCTGCCCTCTATTGCTGTATGTAGTTGTCCGTAGGCTGCAAACACGTCGACACAAGATACCACACCCCCTATCATCGAACTTCGAAGGAACTCGATGACTCCATGACCAAAAGGATGCACATAACAAACGATTTGTTTCCGGACACCGCTCTATGAGACGATTTGAGTTCCGCCGTTTTTGGCACCTCCACTCTTTCTCTTTCTATTGTAGGAGAAATGGAGCTTTGAAAATCGGTTTAGGGGGTGTGATATCTCACGTCATATAAGGTGTGCGTACCACCTGCCTGACGGACATCTTTAGGTACATATACGTACACATGTTCGGAGAAGGAGTAAAAAACGATAAACAGAAGCCTAGCGGCGCTTATCTGTGGTGGATACACTTCAGTAGATGCTCTACAGCTTGCAAATGGTGGTGCATTCGTTGTGATGCTCCTGTCTTGTTGGGAAGAAAAAAATATTTGTTAGTTCTGTTGCTGGTTCGGAGCGGGAGCGGTCTCGCCGCATTTCGCTCCCCCCGCCTTTTCGTCCCTCGGCTCCTCTATTGTCTCTCACACTCACGACATCATCAATCACGCGCTACGTGCGTTCGCCTCTGTTCTACCCAGAGTCTACCGTACCAAAGTTCCACTCCTACACGAGGCCCGCTTTTCTGCCTGCCTGCTGGGAATTCAGTGGCTCCCATCAGGCTACCAAGAGGTCAGCAAGTCAAGAAACAAGATTCACGTTCGGAGCGCATGAAGGATGAGCGAAGAGGTGATGACAACAATGAGCCAACGACAGCGCACGTAATTTAGCATCGCCCACCATTTTTGAGTATGGATACTGTTGGGTGACGGCCGGTCTCATCGCCTGACAATTTCGGCAGCGGCGGGGCGGCTCTCTGGTGATATAGACTCGATATCAAACAAGGAATCTACAGAACGTACCTGTGTACAAATTGAACCGATTTTGCCCCACAACATGCCCAGAATTCCCCAAACAGCATTTCAGCCGCGTCATGCATCGTCGATTCAACCATATGGACTCGAGCATCAACCAAGACGCGATGACTGCTGTGCAGCAGCATTAGAGTGTACTGTAGAGCAGCAGTGCACTTTTAAAGCTTGTAGAGCAATAGCTTAGACTACTTGTTCGCGCTGTGGAGCTGATGATTGATGATGTGTAGGTGATGTGGCACCACTCACCCTCGGGTTGCCCGTTGGTTCTTCCTCAGGAGGAGTCACGCCCCCCTCGCCCACCTCTTTGCAACAAGCAAGCTCGCCTATGCGCAGACAGACTCCAGAGGTGGTCTTCAACTACTTTCAACCAACTCAATCAGCGGTGATACGGTCTCATCGCAGTTAGGATGATTTGAATCTATGCAATAACGGCAGCAAGACACTCTGCCTTTTTGTCTTACTCTTTTGTTCGATAGACTAAAGATGGATTCGTTTGGTCATACTGATGAAATAAACAACCATTCTTCGACGAAACAGAATTGAGCTCATTTCGAGGCAAGAATACTTTCACCGGGCATTCCGGGGATAGACGTTTCATGTCGAAAAGCGGTTGACACGGCCGCAAGAGCAAAGAACCAACATTGGAAGGGCTGCCGGATCTCATATCAATTTTTCGACCAACACCGGTATGTGTTGAAATTCAATCCCCCCCGCTGCTGGCTGCTTTTCCGATTTAATCGGACTCTCGGCAACGGAGGCACAGAAGCACGCAAAGCAAAATGAGGAAAAAGTGCAGGGTAGCGGGCACGTGCGTACATCATATGGCTTGGGCACACTCACACGACAGGTATCGGTACACGGCTGGATGCTGTTACAAGTACCCAGGAAACCACACGTGGGTGGCATTCCGCAGTAGTGCAGAGAGGGACGCATGTGGGATCGCTACTACTCCATCACTGCTGCTGCTGCTGCTGCTGCTGCTGCTGCTGCTGCTGCTGCTGACATGTGGTACTCCCTTTGCTGCTGTGTGGGAAGAAAAGTGCGCACACATCAGAGAACGCTTTGCATCATCACCAACGCAGGATGAGTCACAGTCACAGCTCGCAGCGTTGCACAAGTTCTAGTTAGCCCTTGTGGGTTCTTCGCCCATCTGTTTGTGGGTGATGGTGTCGGCTTGTTGCTTTTTCTGTGTTCGATACTTTTTCGAAAGCATACATGATCTCACAGAAGACAACCATGTCGAGTTGTAACCACAGCAGTCGAAAGGGACGTGCTGAAGTCTTTTCAGTGAGTGGAGGGAAACCGGCTGGAAACTGGGCTTGATTTGGGTTTACTTAAGCCCATGCACTGAATTGCATCGGTGACGCCAGCTGGTGCTAAGAAAATACCATCTGTACACTGTCGAGGGTGGATGCATTGGGTAGACTTGGAGACACACGGTCGAACAAGAACAATAGCACGAACCCTTCCGAAAGTGACAACAAAAAGAAGCGTCACCAATATCATACTTCATCAGCTCCGAAACAAGTCAGCTGTTGTCCTACAAGCTCTTGTGCTCCACTTCTGCGCGGACAACTCTGTCGCTACTGTACAGCGCTCATGGCGCCATGGGGAGTGCTCGAGCTACGTATCGGTGCTGCTGCTGCTATAGTCGGTTGGTGTGTACGGGTCTTCTTCCTGTCTGACGCGCCGGCCAAACTTGTTTCCCTTCGTTCGGGCGTGTGTTGTGCCATCACATACAGCGCGAACGAGTAAGCTATTGCTCTATAAGCTGGTGCACTGCTGCTGTACTAATACTCTGATGCTGCCGCACAGCAGCCGTGGCATCTTGGCTGATGCTCGAGGCCATACTTGAATCGACGTTGCACCACCCCGCTGAAATTTCTTTTGGGCAACTCTAGGCGTGTTTTACAGGCCTTTCGGCGTATATATATGTATATATATATATGTATTTGTTTTTCTCCCATCATTGGACTCTGTCGTCTGCCCCTCTGGCCCCTATCCTCCACTTCTACTAGCTAGACGACCCAACCGGGGTCACACAGGAGGGGGGGGTTGGACCCCTCCTGCGGTTCCTGCCTGAGATATTTTGATCGTATGTACCTGGCGTATCAGCCGGGGTCAGACAAGAGGAAGGTCACACAGGAGCTTTTTTTTTCTTCTCATTTTTGTTTTTTGAATTGTCCCACCGTTCCCCTGCGGTACTTGCCTGAGTTTCTTTCGCGAGAAGGGTTCAGCCGTCCCTTTAGCCCGTCGATCCTAGGTCCATATATATAGTCCACGGTGTAGTTGTCCCGTCACACCGGGATCCACGCTATTGCGGGAAGGTCCCCGAAGTAAGTTAGTAGCAGGCTAGGTTGTTGTATCTCTAGCATGTTTTTCTACGGTCTATCGGGAACCGCGCTTTTCGGGACCGCGATATTTAGGAGCACTGCTATACTTCTGTGTACTTCTGTGGTCTCGCGACGACATGTGCTATCGACACCACTCGGCCCATTGTATTGAGGATTCCGCCTTGCTCGATCGGTCACGCCCTTGCCCAGAGGTCGTGTAGATGAATGCGCAACAAACGTTAACTCCTTGTGGCACGATCACGGGGGTCGGCATGTATCACGGCAGGTCCGTCAAGTGTGCACGGGAGATTGATGGGTTAGCTCAAGCCCCTTTTGTTTGTGTTCCTACTTACGGTCATTTGCTGGGTTTTGTGTTGTTTTCGTGCTGATGCGCTCCTCTCCGCCGCGACGCGATTGCTCGTTTGCTCGAAATTTCCAGGCGTCCGCACATTCGACAGACGGAGCAGCAGCAGCGACCGCCGCCGCCAGTACGCCAGGCATCGTCCCTAGCGTCTTGAACAACCCAGACATTCTCGGCTGCCTGATCTCGTTCGTACCCGACGAGTCGTTTCTTTTCTTCGGGCCGGTGTGCCGAGGCTGGAGGGCGGCGTGGGGGAAGCGCCCGACCACAACCAGGATCGCAACGGTCGACTTAACCCCGACCCAGCTCCAGCACGGCTTCGACTGCGGCCTGAAGCGAACCAACCCCGAGCTGTGCGCCGCCATCGCGCGCCTCGGAAACGTGGACCTCCTCGAGCTCGCGAGGGACAACGGCTGCCGCTGGGGTGCGGCCACATGCAACGCGGCCGCCGCGTCCGGGAGCCTCGAGGTTCTCCAGTGGGCCAAGTACAACGGCTGCCCCTGGCACGAGCACAAGGTCATATCGCTGGCCGCCGAGGGCGGTCACCTGGGCGTAATCAAGTGGGCGCGGATGTTCGGCTGCGCTATGGATCGGAGCGCCGGTTGGTCGGCGGCGGCGGCGGGGCGGCTCGACGTCCTGCGGTGGCTGGTGGAGGACGGGGCGCCGCTGGACCAGCACACTTGCGCCGCCGCCGCCGAGAAGGGTCGGATGGACATCCTCGAGTGGCTGAGGGACAGGGACACGCCGTGGGGGGAGAGCACGTGCGTGGCCGCGGCTCGGGGGAAGCAGCTGCCGGTCTTGCGGTGGGCGAGAGAGCGCGGGTGCGCGTGGGACGACATGACCTGCTTCATGTCTGCGTGGAACGGCGACCTGGAGACCCTCGTCTGGTCGGTCGAGAACGGCTGCGATATCAACGGCTCTTATTGTCTCGAGACCGCTCTGTCTTCCGGGCACACCCACGTCGCCGAGTGGCTGCAAGCGAACGGCCATGCTCCTAGCTAGCTCTTTTTGAGAGAGAGGGGTGCCGCGGGAGGAAGGCGAGTGTTGGGGGTAGATGGCCTTTTGTGCGACAGGGTTTAGGGGCCAGGAGTCGCGCTGCGGGACACGAAAACGCCGGGTCCTCGGAAGTAGAAAGTGAACGGGAAATGCTATTTCCATTTTGCGATGGGGGGCCCTCAAAAAACGCCGGTGTGTGCGTGGCGCATCGACCGGCGCCATTCAGTGTGCAGAAACGACTTGGGTTATTCGGTCTGTGCCCAGCAATTTCACCGGCGCTATTCAGGGCCACCGACGCTAACCGGCGTTGGTGACGCCCCCCCCCCCAAGGTACCTTGCGGCGTGTGGGAAGGAGTCAGAAATTTTACCCCCTGCGTGATGACCTCGTTCGGTAAGGGGAGACATGCATCAATGAACGCCCAAAGACGGGATCATGTGCTGAAGAAGCACCGGTGGCGATTTCGCCAGATAGCAACTGGTTCGTGACGTGTGGCCCATGCGCAACAGTTTGTGCAATATTTCCCCAGCACCAAGGTTTACTTTTCTCGGGGTAGGGGTGGTTGTTCCAACATTCGAAAGCACCGATAAAGCTCTGTCTCCAGACACCGGTCGCTGTTGATCTTTGTTTTTTTTCCTTTGTTGTCCCGTTATTTTTAATCCCTTTGGGTTTGGGCTGGACTGTCAGATTTTTTTCGCCATGAAAAAAAATTGAGAGCGAGCGCGAGCGTGAGAGAGAAGTGCAGAGAAAGACAATAGTGTACTTCTGCACACGCAACAGCTATCTCCACCTGTAGGCCATGAGGGAAGCCGGCGACAGGGCGGTGGCCACAGACAGGGTCGTAGAAGGGTTGATGGGTGGTCGCGCTGCGGTCAGTAGGGCAGGTTAGCTGGGTAGACTTTGAAATTATCAGTCGTCCAGCTGCCTCAATTTGTATATTTTCGGTATATTGTAATGATCAGTCCAGAGAGGGTGAAATGATCAGTGAGGACCCATAACTGTTATTTGTGGTACTTGTGTACTTCTCTGTTCTCTGCCCCCCTCCCGAAATGTGCCCTGCCAGCTCTCTAGAGCTCCTGCGATTTTCAAACAACATGCACACCCACTAGCACACACCTGTACCTCGTGGTTTCCTAGGTTCGGGCGAGGGTATGTGTGGCGCTACGAGCGTGGATGCGTTGCTGATTTGTTTTACTCGTCTACAGCACTACTGTAGTAGTATGGTGTTGTAGCGTTGTAGCTGCTGACACGATGACTGCTGGATCTTGGGAAATATTTTCAAAGTGCTGGGAGATTCAGCATACCACACGATTTCCTCGATATCTCGACTTCCGCAGGGCTTGCAATACCCCTTCCTTTTGCTACCCTCTGCACTTTGCAGCATTGACTTTCTACGTTCGGGCGAGGATGGGTATGTGTGGTGCTACGAAAGAACACATACGAATGTATTTTTGTACGTATGTCTGCACACAGATGTACATGTATGTACAGACGTTGAGAGATTCATGATTTGGCATTGATTGGCCCCCATTCCCAAGACCGTGATTCTACCCGCTGTCACTGACGTCTCTTCATTGGTCAGCCGGATAGCTCGGGTGCAAATAATCAAGGCACACCTACCTATGAACTTGCCAATACCCGGCGCGAAGGGCGGCAGGGCGGCAACTCCATGACTTGCCGCTACACCAGCATTTGCAAATGATCAATAAATGATCAGTCAGAACGTCTGAAGACTCAAAAGGGTAAAGGAGACGGATAATCTTGATTGCTGTTATGTGGGTGGCGTTTTGTGCCGACTTCGAATATCCCATCGAAATTTCACTCATGACTTTTTTTGTTTTGTACATTCGAAGTTGATGGATTGTCCATTAATAACAACGGACCCGGGAGGCCAAGTTTTCCTCTTATCAGTCGCCGTGAGCGTTGTTGTACTTTTTCCGAGGATATTTCTCTTTGGTGAGATCCGACTTTTTTCGACAGATAACATCATAAGAGAGAGAAAGGGGGGGAACGGCCACCACCCGAAGTTGCCTACTACAGTAAAAGTCCCAGTAGCATCAATGGGCGGCCGTGGAGAAGAAGGTGCTTGCATTTTAACGCAAAATGGCGGCCGTCCAGCACGTTTCATGCTCGCCAGCAGAGTCGCAACAACAACCGATAGCCGTTTCTACGTACAAGTGATGCGAACGCGGGGGGACCCTTGGTGATGTGGGGGATCTATGGTGGTATTTTGGGTGTCATGGTATTGTAGGGGTTTCCGTTGACCAATGTTGCTAAGAAAGCGGCATTCTGTAACAACAAATACCAAAATACGCCAAGTGCAGCTATCCACGTAGTAAATGGGCTTGACCAGGCGATCGTGAATACCGTTGGTTCACACGCATCAATTTTGTTTCTTTAACAAGTTGTCGCGCGAAACGCGAACGAAAAGTTGATGTGCTTGGACCATACGCTGCGCCACTCGTCTTGTGAAATCGGGAGGGTGTCCGAAGCAACGACCGAGCGATGAGGAGAAAAGGTTGCCTAGGACACCGCAATGTTGAGGTTTTGTCATCTGCGGCAGAAACATGGGAACAAACTGTAAGCTGAGACCAGTTGGTCCCACTGCCAGAAAGAAGGTCGATGAACAGAAATTCCTTGAGAGGTGGCGTCGTCCGATCGAGCAGCGTGTCGCAGCACTTAAGGCTTTCACGTGGTATGCCACGCCTAGGTTTCCATCGACCAAAGTCCGAAGTGGGGTGGGAAGATACGAGGCACGTAAAGGACTGGTGGCGTTCAGACCACATGTGTAACTCGCGGTTTCACACCAGCACTCCTTCTGTCGGTTGTAAACTAAGTGAGATGGACTGGAGAAATTCAGTTCCCTCTGGAGAAGTAGATGAACGCTTCCTCCTGCTGGTTCCTTCACATTGGAACCTACCAGGAAGTTGGTTGCGGCAATGGGGACGAAGTCCTCGGCTGGCGAAAACGCAATATGACACCTCGATGTTGCTACATTCACAGGGTGGAGCGCATCAGGTTTCAACCCTCCCCCTGCAAACCTTTCTTCGTGGCAGGTATTCGCGTTCCTCTACATCCGTCTTGACCAGCCGAGGAGAAGCGCGCCACACCCCACTCATGCTTTTTCCCGTGCCTTTCTTTATCCTTCCTGTTGCCTTTTATTTCTCGCCCCTCGGAATACGGTCAGTTCGCCATTGTCTACAGTAGTTCCTCATGTTTTTTTGGCGACCTTCTCTAATTCTTCAAACAACCTATCGACTCCAATTTCTTCTCTCTCCTGGCGGCATTAGGCTATATGCCCCTGCCGCCACGTTTTCAAGTTCTTTCGCGCCATTCCTTTTGATATTTTCCTCGGTCTCTCAGACTTTCCCCCCCACTTGCCCCCCATCCATACGTTCCTCGTCGCACCGCTCTCTGCCCCCCGTCCTCACTATCACCAACCCTCGTTCTAGTTTACCGATATCCCTGCTTCGTTACCCCCCAACACAACTGATTCTCCCCGCGGCGTAAACACGACCAAGGGTTCGGCCCAAGCGATCACCTTCAATGAGTGGTGTCCTCGAACCAACACAGGCTGTTCTCGAATGAACACAGACAGGCTGTCGGCTTCATCCGTTCCCTCCGAACAGGTGTGAACTGTCGTTAAACTTTTCCGAGACCGAAGCAAGGCCACCTTCTCCAGTTACCCCCCCAAACCAAACCAAATCAAAATCGCACCAGCCGTCATGGTCGATCCCCATTGGCTAGCCTAAAGTATGTCTGTCCCATAGAAAGCAACTGAAGCGATCTCTTGGCGTACCGTTCTAAATCTTGCAACGGTCATTACTGCTGGGTCGAAGCCCAGAGCCACGTCCAGCACGACGACCTGCGAACGATTCCCTCGCATCGAAATCGCGCCCTCACACCGCGCCACTGTAGTTGCATGGGCAAGTTCGGTGCTACCTAGCTCTCGCCTATACTATGTCGGGCACTGCTGTGTGGCGCCAAACATTGGACGAGAATTACTACTAGGAGAGCCATATCTGCCGACTGCAGCGGTAGTAGAGAAGAGCCACATCTGCAGACTGCAGCGGTAGTGATTTCCTGAGCAACCCTTCAGACCCTTGCTCATCCCGAATCCAGGTAACCACGTCCTGATGTCCGGCCTGCTCCGCGAGCGTCAGGCACTTGGTCTTGTACCAGCAGCACCCATTTTTCCTGGCCCACTGAAGGACGTGCAAGTGACCGTGCTTAGAGGCTTCCTTGCAGATCTGCTTGTCTCCGACGCAACCGTTTCGCAAGGCCCACTTGTGCACGTCAAGATGCCCACCCCTCGCAGCCCCTACACATGTCTTCGAGCAGCTCCAGGGGAGGTTCCGCTTCCTTGCGCCTGTGGCGTGAGAACGAGGGGGGCAGGGGTCGGTGTCTTGATGATGGCCAGGCCGATGAAGGCAGGACAGGGTTGGTCATTGCCGCCATCAACGTCAATCGGTCATGGGCATGGCAATTGTCATCATCATCAAGCCCCAGAAGCGAAACATCGAACGTCGTTTTTCCCGCTCTTGGTTGGAAACGGCGGATGTTGCAAGATATTTCACAATAAATAGCGAAGTCATTTTACACACCCAACAAGACGTGATGCAGAGGGATTCTCTAGCCACGCAACGTCGAACGACCGACAAGTATCCTCTTCCCGGCCTAAAAGATAGGACCATTACTTGCCTCGCAGCATGTTAAGATGACCACCTGCCGCCGCCGCCTCACAGAGGGTGGCGTCGGAAGGACAACCTTGGCGAAGGCACCACTGAAGGGTCTTGAGGTGGTCACCCCTGGCAGCGGCAGCGATCGTCAATGCATCCCAAGAGCACCCCACCCTCCGCGCCCACTGCAGCACCCTCAGGTGGCCCCCGAGGGCGGCGGAGGCGCACACCTTCGCGTTCATGGGGCCCCTACTCCAACCGCACACGCCAGAAGGTTGAGCTTGCCTAGGCGTGCCAACGCCTCGCACAACCCGATTTGGTTCCGCGGCAGGCCGCATTCGAAGCTGTGCTGCAGCTGGGACATCATTGTGTGGGGAGTGACATGCGCTGTGATCGCCGGACGTTGCCACGCGGCCCTCCAACCTGTGGCCACCGGCGCGAAGAACAAGAACTGGTTGTCCGGCACGAACTGAGCTAGACCCACGAGGATGTTCCTGTTGGTCATTGCGGAGCTTGGGTCGGGAAAGCAACCGGCTCCGTGCGTCGATGCAGCGCTTTCCTCTGTCTCCCGCTTGCGTTTCATTGCCGTGTTTAATTCCTGTTTGCCAACCACCAGGAGTGCTATAATATACTGTGAAATGCGGAAGAAGCACGACGGTAGTGTGCAGAGATAAGCCCGGAAATATGCCGGCGGAGAGGGCATATTGCAAGTCGATTCTGCCACGCATTGCACCTACAGTACTACGTAGTAGGTCACAAGGCCCACTGCAGTATTTTTCGTCCTTAGAGAGTTGGGACTGTAGCATGTTCGCTTCCTGACGCCGACAGCCCTAGCAAAGGTCGCATTCCCTATTTTAATATCTATGGCTTGTGCTTACGTTTATGTCGGTCAAGCACGCCAGCACAACACGCAAACCAACACCATCTCCAATCAGGGACGGGAGAGAAGTGCGCTTTCACGGACATGAGCAAACATCCGTTAAACCTAGAGTCGACCATGCTGATGAACGATGTACTGTGTACACTGATGGTGTTTCGAAAATGTAATTTTACCCGTGTGGCCAGCCGTGGTTTAGCAGACTGTCCCGTACCACGTACCTGCGCCGGGGGTGTTGTTTTAGGCGCGATGGCCATTCCCGGAGGCGGCACAGCTCTGCCAACGTCCTCGGTTTCAGAATGCCTAGAACGTTTCCAGCAGCTAGGGCCTGGATCACGTCCGTTTTCGTCTCGCCGCCGACAGTGCTCACATTTGTCCGGAAGGCGAGCAGGCATAGGTCGATCAAGCTCTCATTTTCCAGCCATGCCGAGGTTCCACTCACCTCCGCCATGGCGGGGCAGTTGTTGCTGTGACGCTGTCTACCTGAGTGAACTGCACTAGTGATTTGTGGACACAACGGCGGGGAAGAAGGTTGACCTACGCTCTTAGGCGAGATACGATCATCCAAGCTGCATTTCGGGCCCACGATGATTTCGGATATTTGTCTCGGAAATCCATCGTTCGTGCGCTCATGTATCAAGACGTCTCTGTACGAGCCCCACTTACATCTCCGCCCGACGTCATCAAAGTCCTCCCATTTGCGAACCCTAAATGACGCAATCCCGCACACGACCCTTTTAAACCTTTGCCACAACTTATACATTTGTAGATGCGTAGATACATATGCGAGTTCTCAGCGGTTTTATCGACTGGTAGTCTATATGGGAGAGGGTGATCGATAATTCGGGTGGCTCAGTTCTGTGTGTTGGGAGTGTAGAGCAGCTGGGCCATGACGGGCCGTGGTAGGGGAGGGACGGGTTGGAAGACGTATTGTATTCTTCGGGGCCGTGCTCGTGCTCGTAAATCTGTCACGGCATCAAGCACGCGTCACGCTCATCACGCTCAAACTACCAAACAGATCTCTCTGATTCCTCCGCATCTCATCACTGCAATTTCCGTACGTACGTACTGAAGATCTTACCCTTCATACTATGCTACGAGTACCCCCAATATATCTAATAGCGCCCCTCCTCGTATGCATCGTCATGCTTCGCCAAAAACCAAATTCCTCTTTTACCATCTCTCCCAAAACAAACAAGAAAATTCTCAAAAGCATCCAAATCCAATATCCTCCCCAAACCATGCAAGAACCCTCCCAAGTCAATCACAAGAAAAATTCCAACACAATCAAAACTCCTCAAAAACAACAAAGAAAAATTCCAACACAACAAAAACTCCTCCAAAACAAACAAGAAAAATCTGAACACACCTCCAACACCCTTACCACCTTCATCAGACTCTCTCTTTCTCTTGCCCAATCTCGTCTCTCTTNCCAAAACAAACAAAAACCAATATCTTCACCAAAACAATCCAAAATCCTCCAAGTCCATCACAAGAAAAATCAAACACAATCAAAACTCCTCCAAAACAATCAAGAAAAACTAAACACAACAACTCCTCCAACCTTCACCAGACTCTCTCTTTTCTCTTGTCCAATCTCTCGTCTCTCTCACTCTCTCCATCACAGAATACGAATCGACCCCAAAACACTTCCTTCACTGCAAGTTCATCACGAATTCACGGTGCAACGCAGAAGACTCATTGCTAATAGCCTTCGTCAAGAAATCTGCTTGCTGAAATTGCGTCGGCACATGAGTAATTGAAATCTCCTTCCTCTCTACCAGCTCCCTGATAAAGTGATGTCGTACATCGATGTGTTTCGAGTTGGAGTTCGTGATCGGGTTGTGCGCAATCTGAATCGCTCCCTGATTATCCTCGAACACCGGGATGCACNACAGAATACGAATCGACCCCAAAACACTTCCTTCACTGCAAGTTCATCACAAAGTCACGGTGCAACGCAAAAGACTCCTTGCTAATGGCCTTCGTCAAGAAATCTGCATGCTGAAATTGCGTCGGCACATGAGTAATTGAAATCTCCTTCCTCTCTACCAGCTCCCTGATAAAGTGATGCCGTACATCGATGTGCTTCGAGTCGNCCCCAAAACACTTCCTTCACTGCAAGTTCATCACAAAGTCACGGTGCAACGCAAAAGACTCCTTGCTAATGGCCTTCGTCAAGAAATCTGCATGCTGAAATTGCGTCGGCACATGAGTAATTGAAATCTCCTTCCTCTCTACCAGCTCCCTGATAAAGTGATGTCGTACATCGATGTGTTTCGAGTTGGAGTTCGTGATCGGGTTGTGCGCAATCTGAATCGCTCCCTGATTATCCTCGAACACCGGGATGCACGGCATACTCGCATCTGGCAACATAAAACGTCACACCTGCCTCAAGNTGAGTAATTGAAATCTCCTTCCTCTCTACCAGCTCCCTGATAAAGTGATGTCGTACATCGATGTGTTTCGAGTTGGAGTTCGTGATCGGGTTGTGCGCAATCTGAATCGCTCCCTGATTATCCTCGAACACCGGGATGCACGGCATACCTGCATCTGGCAACATAAAACGCCACACCTGCCTCAGGAACAACACTTCCTTCAAGACATCGGCAATTGCCACATACTCTGCTTCCGTGGTGGAAAGCGTAACGCACTTCTGCGTTCGTCAAAACCGAGTCACACCCCCCAACGCACACATCACTAGCCCCCCAGATACCGACCTCCGGTCTGCCGCCTTGCTTGCATAGTCGGCATCCACAAACACCTGCATGCTCAT